CAGCAAAGTGCTGACCAAATGTAACACTCAAATTGCAGGATTTCAATGAGTTGGGGGTGGGGCCGGGGACAGAAGCCAATTATAATTGTTTGAAAGGAGAATGGATGAGAAAGTAGATCAAGCGAGAGTTGTATGCTTTTTTCCCAAAAAATTCTGCTGTGAAAAAGAGACAGTGAGGAAGAAAGGGCAACAGAACAGATTAAAGAAGGTATCTTTAGGGGCGCCTGGGTAGCTTAGTTGGTTAAGCATCCGACTGTTGGTTTTGGCTCAGGTCATGATCTCAGGGTCCTGAGATTGAGCCCCATGTCAGGCTCCCTGCTCAGTGGGGAGTCTGCTTGAGATTCTCCCTCTCCCTTTGCCCCTCCTCCCACTCACACACACTCTCTCTTAAAAAATAAATAAAGTATCTTTATTTTTGCTTTAGATGGATAGAGCATGATGCGGGGAGCCCGCTGAGAGCTGAAAGCAAGGTGGCGTGGCCACTGGCCTCTGGGACAGTGTCAAAGAGACAGTAATAATGGTAGCAAACTTATGTGGCACCTACTATGTTCCAAACACTCCTCTATATGTTGTTTTATATATATTAATTCATCTACTTCTCAGCTGCCTTATGAGGTGGAATCTGTTAGTATCCCCATTTTACTTATGAGAACACTGAGGTCCAGAGAAGTTAAATAACCTGCCCAATTTGTGCCCTACCCACTGCACTAAGCAAATGCATTACAGAGTCACCGAAACAATGTATAGGTACATATATCAGCTTCAGCGGCTTCGGAAGATCATTGGTTAAGAGGTAGATGGGAGGGGCGTGGGACAAGACCAAGATGTTTGCTGTAGATACAGGTTAGTTGTGTGATAAAGGGGAAGTCTCTCTGTGGAACATGTCTTTGCAACTTTTTCCTATTATTAAGAAGTTGAAAATTATTGGCTCATCAATGTTACTTGACTCTTAACTTTCTTGGAAGAAGGTTAGTTGGGAACAACACGCCAGAGTTAGTTTGTTGTGGCAGAACTGAACTAGTCACTGTAATGAAATTGACATGTTGGCAAGCGATTCTGTGGACATCAGGGCTGGGCTGTAGGTAGAGGTGGGCAAGAGAGGGAGGGGGAGATGGTGACGGACAGGATGTTGAAACAGATTATCTTGATCACATAGTTGAATGAAACTTGAAATTACATTCAGGCATTTGGTAGTAGAACTCCTGAAAGATTGGGTAAAATTTTGTATTTGTACTGCCTTGTTTATCCAGACTTGCTGAAGCTTTTCCTGGTTTTGTGCCCATCATTCCACAAAGGTGGCATTATTTGGAAATGTGAAAGAATAATTACAAATCTATTAGTCTTTTCTTCTAATATTATCATCAGCAAGAGTACCTAAGAGTAACATTTATTCAGATGTCATGTACATTTCTAAAAACCCTAGAGCTGGCTCATAATCATCCTCACTTGACACTTGGGGAAACTCAGACTTGAAGACACAAAGTCCCTTGCCCAAGGTTATAAAGCTAGCAAGTGGCTAAGCTGGGATGCAAATCAGGTAGTATGAATCCAGAGCTCAGGTGCCTAACCCTCTGTGCTATATATGAAATTGTTGGTGTCCAGATTTCGCCTGTTTTTTCAGAGTTGCATCAGGCTGCCATGTTCACATGTGAGAAAATCAACTTTAGAAAAACCTTGCCTCTAGTTCTACTAACCATAGTTACTTGGGGGTTGGTTCCTAAGGGAAAAAGGCTAGTATAAATATAGTTATAAGGTGTCTTAATGAATGTGGAGAATCTTCACATGTTTTTACCTTCTCTGATGAGGTCATTACAAATATTTCTTTACCTTTTCAATGCAAAAGGGATCTGCGCTTGTGTATACTTTGGTGTTCTAGACATTTGTGGGCTGAAATTACAGTGAAGAGAGTTTTGTTAGCCTTCAGGAAGGCCCGTAGGACAATGACTGGTTAGAACTGTTGCTGTGGTCATCTCTATCTACTATTTGTCATGCTAGCTGCTGGAATACAGAGGTGAAGGATGGTACCCTCCCTGATTCCATCTCATGGGAATGTATAATCTGATGAGAAAGGCAGAAATTAAATGAGGTCACCAGAAATATTTAATTACCATGAAACTGGATTCTGGAAACCCTAATAACATCATGAATTTGACTGTTTTCCAGTTAATCAAAATAGGCTAAATGGCTTTGAAGGCTGGGAAACAGACTGGTTAATGACCAAGAGCATGTCACCTCTGTGCTAATAAGTGTAAAACCATAGATTCGAGGCATTGAAATAACTGAAAAGATAAGTGTTAAAAAGGTAAACGTCCTTCCCATTTACAAGTGCACCAAAAACTATAAGATACTTAGGAATAAACCTAACCAAAGAGCTAAAAGATCTGTCCTGTGAAAACTATAGAACACTAATAAAAGAAACTGAAGAGGACACAAAGAAATGGAAAAATATTCCATGCTTATGGATTGGAAGAACATATATTGTTAAAATATATGTTTTCTACAAAGTAATCTACACATTTAATGCAGTCCCTATCAAAATACCACCACCATTTTTCACAGAGCTAGAACAAACAATCCTAAAATTTGTATGGAACCACAAAAGACCCTGAATAGCCAAAGCACTCTTGAAAAGCAGAGCTGGGAGGCATCACAATTCTGGACTTCAAGCTCTATTACAAAGCTGTAGTCATTAAGACAGTATGGTAGTGGCATAAAAACAGACACATAGATCAATGAAACAGAATAGAAAACCCAGAAATGGACCCACAACTCTATGGTCAACTAATCTTTGACAAAGCAGGAAAGACTATCCAATGGAAAAAAAGATAGTCTCTTCAACAAATGGTGTTGGGAAAACTTATTTTCTTATACCATACACAAAAATAAATTCAAAATGGATGAAAGGCCTAAATGTGAGACAGGACTCCATCAAAATCCTAGAGAGCACAGGTAGCAACCTCTTTGACCTTGGCCATTGCAACTTCTTACTAGACATGTCTCTGGACACAAGGGAAACAAAAGCAAAAATGAACTATTAGGACTTCATCAAGATGGAAAGCTTCTGCACAGTGAAGGAAACAATCAACAAAACTAAAAGACAACCTATGGAATGGAAGAAGATATTTGCAAATGACATATCTCATAAAGGGATATATATGTAAAGAACTTATAAAACTTAACACGCCCCCAAAATAAATAATAAAGAAAGGGGCAGAAGACATGAACAGACATTTTTTCTTTCTTTCTTTTTTTTTTTAAGATTTTATTTATTTATTTGACAGAGAGAGACACAGCGAGAGAGGGAACACAAGCAGGGGGAGTGGGAGAAGGAGAAGCAGGCTTCCCGCTGAGCAGGGAGCCCAATGCAGGGCTCGATCCCAGGACCCTGGGATCATGACCTGAGCCAAAAGCAGACGCTTAACGACTGAGCCACGCAGGCGCCCCGAGCAGACGTTTTTTCAAAGAAGACATCCAGATGGCTAATACACACATGAAAAGAGGCTCAACATCACTCATCATCAGGGAAATACAAATCAAAACCACAATGAGATACCATCCCACACCTGTGGTATCTCAAATTAACACAGGAAACAACAGATGTTGGCAAGGATGCGGAGAAAGGGGGGCCCTTTTATGCTGTTGGTGGGAATGCAAACTGGTGCAGCCACTCTGGAGAACAGTTTGGATGTTCCTCAAAAAGTTAAAAATAGAACTACCCTATGACCCAGGAATTGTACTACTAGATATTTACCCAAAGGACACAAAAATACTGATTTGAAGGGGCGCATACCCCCCGATGTTTATAAAAGCAGCATTATCAACAATAGGCAAATTATGGAGAGAACCCGGATGAATGGATAAAGAAGAGGGGGTATATAGAGAGAGTGGAATATCACTCAGACATCAAAAAGAATGAAATCTTGCCATTTGCAAAGACATGGATGGAGCTAGAGTATATCATGCTAAGTGAAATCAGTCAGAGAGAGACCAAAACCAGATGATTTCACTGATACGTGGCATTTAAGAAACAAAACAGTTGAACATAGGGGAAGGGCAAAAAAGAGGGAAGCAAACCATAAGAGACTCTTACCTAACTACAGAGGACAATCTGAGGGTTGATGGAGGGAGGTGGGTGGAGGATGGGTTAACTGGGTGATCGGTATTAAGGAGGGCACTTGTTGTGCTGAGCGCTGCGTGTTATATGTAAGTGAAGAATCACTTACATATAGTGAGGAGTTCTACTCCTGAAACCAATGTTATACTATATGTTAACTAGAATCTAAATAAAAAATTGAAATAGAAAAAAAGGTAAGTGTCTTATAAAATATAGTTTAAAATACTGAGTATGTGGAAGATAAAAATAGCAAATCTTACTATTCTCATTTTCTGTGCATTTGTATTGCTTATTTATTACTATATTATGAAAAATTATGAAACAGACCCAAATATTGATCAGGGACAGCTTTAATATGGAAACTTCTAGAAAATACACGTGTGATAGCTTCTTCTCACACCTTTTGTTTCTGCTGTGTTGGCCCAGAAACCCCATAGAAGAGGTATTCTAAGGGAGACTGTGAGGATAGCCAGAAGAATCTCCATTTTTTTCTTACAGTTTTCTTTTTCCAATCCCAAACTAAAAGTAATAAAAGCTATATTCAAGCATGTTCAAATTTTTATGAACACTTTGTTTTGCTTTTGATATCAAAACGGGGTGAAAGTTCTTAGGGGAGAGTTTTACTGTAAGCCTTAATCCATGGTAATTATTCCCCATGAGGTCAGATTGGATGAAATTATGCTTCTACTCCAACGGTTTAAGTCTTTGAAAAATTCCTAAAGTGAAATTTATACCCCGTCATGTCCTCAAAAGAACGTCTCTGTGTTTCCCTGTGGTGATGTGGGCTGGGCTATGGTGGCACAGGGATGATACTGAGGTTTTCTTTCGGATATTGTTGTTGTTGTTTATAAATTCTTTACTTTCTTTCCCACCGCTGTCTCTACAGGCTCAGTTTGAACTCCAGGCATTTCGTATCCGGGGGGAGCACGCGGTGGTCACGGCAAGACTCGAAGACACCATTGAAACTCTCAAACAGGAGACAGAACACCGATGGCGAGGAGGACGTGGAGAGATGAGAGATGCATGTATCTCCACTGACGATGCCTGTCCTCCAAAGACCTACAGAAATGTGTGCATCCAGACAGACAGAGAGACTTTTCTCAAACCCTGTGAAGGTGAAGGCAAGACAACCAGAAGCAACCAGATAATACCCAAAAAGCTGAATATCTCCTCTTTAAGTCAGCTCTCTCCCCCGAATGACAACAAAGACACCCATGTACCACTTCAGGCTGTGGAAGGCCCCTCACCAAGTCAGCAAAAGGCATCGCCTCCCCCTCCTGCACCACCCCTACCAGCAGCCATCCCTCCCCCTCCTCCTCCTCCCCTCCCACCTGGACTTGGACCTTTGCCACCAGTACCTCCGCCACCACCTGTGAGTGCTGGACCGCCACCCCCTCCGCCCCCTCCTCTGCCTCCAAGTGCCGGGCCTCCTCCGCCTCCTCCTCCTCCACCACCACTTCCCAATTCCCCTGCTCTGCCCACCAGTGGGGGGCCTCCTCCTGCTCCAACACCTCCAGGACTTGCACCCCCACCTCCTCCTGGACTCTTCTTTGGAGTTGGCCCTTCTTCTAGCCAATGTCCTCGGAAGCCAGCCATTGAGCCGAGTTGCCCCATGAAGCCTTTATACTGGACTAGAATACAAATAAGTGATAAAAGGTAAGCCCAACTCCTCTGGCCCATTCTCAGGTTGTGAATTCCCAGGATTTTGCACAACTGACATTTTATTCTTACCAGTTGGATATCTGTGTACTGTGACATTCATTTCTCAGATGCAGTATAGTGAGTACCTTGGATAAACAATGTTGGAGCGTTTAGAGGGAGAATGTCTGTCTCTACCAGGTCTTGTCTGTATTTGCTATAGACTGATGCTGGGAGAACAGCCTGTGCAATGTCAGATCCTTCTCTAAGATAAAGGTTCCATTTTACAGACTCTTCTTAGAGAAGAGCCCTGGTCTAAGTTGGAGCCTTCTCCAACATCACTACAGCTAGCAAGTAATCATACCGACATAGAGCCTGAACTATACTTAGGTTCACTGAAGATTTTTAGAATATCTGTCTTGTCTTTCGATGGGATCATCAGCCTTATGATCTGGATACTTAACAGGTATGTGTAATTTTTCAGGTTTTATTAGGAGAGCCAGACATAGCTGAGTCATTAGCTCTTTAGGTCAGAAGGGAGTCAAAAAACAGAAAATCTCTGCTTGAACTCTCATTCCCCTAACTGTTAAATGCCCTCGCATCTTATACCTTGTTGCTCAGAGAAAGTGCCAGTAGAGTACATCTAACATTTGTATAGCTTGTTAAGCTCGGTCTGTATGGCAGCAAGATAGGTTGGTTAGAAACTTCCATTCAAACATATTTGAATTTAATTTCTTCTGCCTCATTTCAGAGTCTGTCAAGAGGACAATGAGAGAGATGTTGACAATCTCTAGATTTGAAGTTCATTTGTTTGCAAAGAACAGCAAATAGAGAACACATTTTTAAACATAAATTTTTGAACTTATTCCCCAAATCATTGTGTGGTGGTGAATCTTTCAATTTATATAACATTTTGTATGTGGAAGGCAGGATATTAAGCAAAATAACATGAAATTCACAATTATAAAGCAACTGGAAATCACTATAGGAGGAGTGGGGATTACCCTCAAGCTACGCATATGGTGAACTAAGTTGATTATGTGCTTCATATTGGCCCCTTTCCTCTAACCAAAAAAATAAGGACCAAGAGTTTATGTGTGGAAATCTTGATGCTTTTTAAAATGCTGATGCTTTATTATTTCTCAAATGAATGGTTGAAAAAAGAGAGAGAGAAAGAGAAGATTCCGAAATAGCTCCTAACGATTAGTTGCAGTACTAATATTCCTTTTGGTCCCATTCAAGACTCAGATGACATTTCCTAAGAAATAGTTTCCCAGAATATTTATATGGAGCTGTGTTCCCTTATTAGTGTTCTCAAAAATTAATGTACAGACATTCCAGAGTGATGAATCCCACCTGTCAGCCCTGGGGTAGTGTGTTCTGACAGCACATGGAACTGTTCCACACCTGTGTCTCACTAGCCTGCCTCCACTCTATTCCCCTCAAGACTCCATAAGCAACCAATATCCTAGACCATAGTAGCGGTATAACAGTACCGCTGGGAGATATGGCCCTTTGCCCACTGTTCAAGTTGGGACAAAGTCAAGCTGGAGATAATCGTTATGTTTTTCACTACTTATGTAGTTGGCCATTTTGAGAAAGAAAACAATTACATACTCAAGCTCTTATTAGTTTCACTATAAGTTTAGGGCTTCAGTTTTAAACAAAGTGAAAAGTAGATGAGTGTACTGAGTTTCCAGCATGAAGACTGCAATATGGCCGCTTCCCGCTGCTCCACACATTTAGTCTCTCTTATCATGGGTCCCTCAAAATGGTTTTGTACCCTCAGAGCATGAGTACTTCTTTTAAACTAAAAGGCTGTAGATTTTCCGTGTAGTATTTACAAAACTAAAATTATTTAGGGTGTGTTTTTTAAAAAGAGAGGAAATGGTATTTTAGTATTTTGTACAACCAGGAGGGTAAGCACTGTGTATAATGTACCCATGGTAAATTTTGGTCTTGGTCTTCTGGGGACCTAGGAGTAAAATACGAATTTTCTCCATTATATATGTACTGCCTCTCACCCACCTGATTGTTTTTGTTACTAACATGAACTGATTTTTAACTTTTGCCATTTTGCATTCTTCAGTGTCTGTTTTCTGACTTCTAGAATAGGGAAGAGACATTTAGTTAAAGAAAAAGAAATCCTAATCTGTCTACTTTTTTGGCTTCCTAATAAATACGTTTTCCTAGTGAGTATCTTCTCCTCCTTCCTCCCTCCTCCCTCTCCCATTTCTTCCCTCTCCAGTCTCTCTTTCCTCCTCCTTCTACCTCCTCTTCCTCTTCTTGTGAGCTGGATTTGTATGTCCAGTGGTCAGAGAGGAAGTGACCATTATAACAGAGGAGGTGGTCTATTGTGAGCGAGTCCTTGTTATTGCCCAACCCCATGCCTGCTGTCCCCAACTCACTGAGAGGTAGTATTCCAAAATTCTTTTATTCATTATTGGAAACGCCTTTTCCCATAGAACAATGTAGTAAATGGTGATGAAGTGTTCAACCTATCAAAGCCAATTTACTCTAGAATAGGAGTGAGTTGCAGCCGACTCATACTAGCCTGAGCTCAGAGTCCTTGGAGCTGGGGCCAAGCAGTACAGGTGAAGGGATGGGGGTTGGGGAGGTGGGGGATGGATGGGTCTGAACAACCCCCCTATGCATCACACCACCTCCCTCTACACACCCTCTCCTCAGCTTCCCAGAACCTTCAGGAGGCCCAGACCAGCAGCCCTTAACAGACTGCATGCTCCAAAATTCCCCGGCTCTCTTCTGCCATCAAGATCCCCCTTCCTAAGTGCAGCTGAGATAAGCACTTAACAGTGCTCGTGTTTCAAATGGAAGTTAAGTGAGTGGCAGAGGTGGGCAGCTGAGGCAGGAGCCCAGGGATGGATGTACTTCGTTGGAAGTGTCCTAGATCTTGAGTGATGATTTCACAGGTATTCATTATACGTTATACATGTCACACATATACTCTTAAATGGCTCAAATATTATATTATAAAAAAGTGGAGAGAAGTGAATCTGAACAGACCAAAATGTTCATATTTCAGGGGAAAGGCAGACATGTAGCAAAATGTGAACACACAGATCCGAGAAGTCAGTCTTCCCATCTGTTTTGAATATGAAAATCGCCTTTTAGCATCAAAACATTTTGTGGACTACCCCATATAATAAAAGTTCTTTTAGTTTTCAGTGACGGAAAAAATACATATTAAAACAAAGGTAGATACTTACAGATATTATGGATCATAATATATACATATATTTTAAAAATAATAAATGTGTAGATGAAACATTATTTTTTTCTGTCTATGGGTATTAAGAGTGTTTAAAAGTAATTTAAGAATTAAACACTTGGGGGAAAATGTGTTCTGACTGAAGGAAGCCTGGATGGTAACCCTTCCAAGTTTGGTCTCAGAGGCAGTTCTTTTATACCTGATTTTCTATATCTTCTCTTTGTTTCAAAACTAGTGCCCCTGTTTTTTGAAGATAAAAAAAAAAAAAAAACCTTAGAAACAAAAAGTACAGCCTCCCCATGGCTGCTTTAGTTGAAATCTCTTCAGGGGCTGGCGCAATGAAGTTTTTTGGTTTGTTTTCATTGTTAAATACTGTTGTTGGGGCGGAGTGTTCTAAATCAAGTATTTCTAAATGAGCTCAGTCTGTTCACAGATTATGGGTCTTGCCCTGAGTTGACATGAGCTAATCCTAAAAACCATTTTTAAAAGTATTAGAAAAAGCCCAAAGTGAGGGTAAATCTTTACCTTAGTAGAAGGTGAAGAATTTTTTTCTTTTTAAGAATTTTTATTAAGAACTATCCCATCAATATCTCAGAATTGGTTATCTTTTCAGCATTTATATGACGCCCATTTTTACCCATGATGGAAACACCATAGACTGAGGGAGGAGCTTATATGGCCTCAATCGTGTGACTCGCAGGATTTCTGGTCCCACTTGATTTCTCTAAATCTCTCTTTCTCTCTTTGATTGTATCTAATGGTCATTTGGTTTTGGAAATGGGTTGTTAGCTTTGATGTTCTATAGTATATTTTGACTTTAAAATAAAAGGTGTAACATGAAAAGCTTTTCTTCAAGCTTTATTAGAAGGAGATATATATAAACATACATATATAAATATAAACAAACTGAGGGTTCTAGAGGGGATGCAGGTGGGGGGATGGGTTAGCCTGGTGATGGGTATTAAAGAGGGCACGTATTGAATGGAGCACTGGGTGTTATACGCAACCAGTGAATCATGGAACACTACATCAAAAACTAATGATGTATGGTGATTAACTTAATAAAATAAAATTTAAAAATATAATCTTAAATGAGTTATAAAGTGAATTAGAGATTTCATTATATTCTGTTCTCTTCACTATTTTGATTTTAATGTTTAACCTACCATTTTCTCTTTTAAGCCAAAATGCTACACCAACCTTATGGGATTCCTTAGAAGAACCTGATATTCAGGATACTAGTGAATTTGAGTATTTATTCTCCAAAGACACAACTCAGCAGAAGAAAAAACCTCTGTCAGAGACCTATGAGAAAAAGAACAAGGTCAAAAAGGTACTGAATGACTATAGTAATCATTGTATTTTTTAATCATACATGGGAATTCATTATGTGCTGCTGGTTTGCTATCTGTTTTCCAGAAATGTTTTGGAAGGTTTTAAGTCACTGATGACAAAAGGGAGTCAGTAGTTTAAGAAATCTGTGCTTGTGCTTTCAGTCATATCTGAATTTTCAAACTATCTTCTTAATTTGATCTGGACTTTTTTTAGCTAATAATTCTATTGAAAAAAAATAAAATTTAACTTGTAATTAGTGAAAGTAATTATATGGAAAATATGTCTTACTCATTAACTTATTTATAAATGCATTCATTTAACAAACATTTATTGGGAGTATATTTATGCTAGGTTTTGTTTTAGGCCCTTGTGGTCCAGTGTGGTAACCATTAGCTACATGTGGCTGTTTAAGTAATACAATTAGATAAATTAGATAAATTAAAAATTCAGTCCTTCAATGGCATTCGCCACTTTTCAGTTTTGTTTTTGTGGCTAGTGGCTACCATATAGCACAGATTTAAAAAAAAGTCACTATAAAAGTTTATTGGGTAGCACAGTCTGACACCTGGGATATGTTGGTGAGAAAACCCCAAAGACCTTTGCCCTGTGGTACTTACGTTAAAAATCAGCGTTAGAAACAAAACATTAAACCACTCGAAAAAGCAGGGTAAGGAATATGGATTTTGGCAGGGCGGGGGCAGGGCTGCAGGGGTTTTTTTTTGTTTTGTTTTTAAAGATTTTATTTATTTATTTGACAGAGAGACAGTGAGAGAGGGAACACAGCAGGGGGAGTGGGAGCAGGAGAAGCAGGCTTCCCTCTGAGCAGGGAGCCCGATGTGGCGCTCGATCCCAGGACCTCGGGATCATAACCCGAGCTGGAGGCAGATGCTTAACTGACTGAGCCACCCAGGCGCCCCAGGGCTGCAGTTTTAAGTGGAGTGTTCAGAGTAGTCCTCATGGAGAAGTTGACTTCTGAGCAAAGACTTGAGGACTTGAAGTCAGAGACCACCAGCCATACATCAGAGAGCAAGTTCAAGATTCCCCAAGCTTTCGGGCAGATGAGAAGTTGAATGGCAGCTGAGCCATGCACAGGCTGCATGACCTAGGTCAAAGTTCTTCCTCTCTTTGCCTCCATCCCCTCACTGTAACCTGAGATAATGACTACTCATATTATTATTCTAAGTAGTTATTAAATGAGGTAATTGATATATCATGCTTAGCACAGTGTCTGAAGACATCAGCTCTCAACAAAGGATGGCTGCTCTCATTTTGTTACTGTTGATGTTACTGCTGCAAATTCTCAGCATTAGCATTTTGATAATAGCATAGATGGTGCTGAGGAAAAAGTATAATGCATCTGTGGGTCTGCTCTTGATTTGCTATGTGAGCTTGGGCTGCTCGTCTGTATTGCCTAGGCCATATTTCTTCCTTTTCTATAAAAATCTGAGTCTACCTGACCCACCAGGATGCTGTGAAATTGAATCTAAGAGGGTGTGAAGGAAATGTTTTGAGAAGTGTTATACTGAATGATATTATCATCAACCCTTTATTCTTAAATTATTTAGCGGGCTTCACATGCATTGATTCATATCTCAAGGAACATTATGATTATGAAATCAGCTGTGCCTTAGAGGGGCAAAAATGACAAAAGCCTGAATGCAGTTTTCTGTTAATCGAATCAGGTTCTCCCACTGACTTGAATTATGAATGAAAATCATCATCAAAGTTTTTTCTTTTTTTTTTACCACTCAAGCACATGGGAATTATGTTTTCATGAGAAAAATGTGACACCAAAAATAATCAAATATCAGACCAAATCTTTCTCTCTCTTTTTTTTTTTTTTAGATTTTATTTATTTATTTGACAGAGAGAGACACAGTGGGAGGGGGAAACAAGCAGGGGGAGTGGGAGAGGGAGAAGCAGGCTCCCCGCAGAGCAGGGAGCCCGATGCAGGGCTCGATCTCAGGACCCCGGGATCGTGACCTGAGCTGAAGGCAGATGCTTAACGACTGAGCCACCCAGGTGTCCCGAGACCAAATCTCTTAAGAGGACATACTGCATGAAACAATTTGAAGTTTTCAACGGCTATATATTCCTATGCAGTGTGAGGTTCATACGAGACAGAAAGTGTGCTCCATGGGCCAGCTGGCTTATTACATGCCATCTATAGACACAGAAGACTCCTTTTCTGGCTGAAAAGGAAAAGAATAATTTCTGTATTCCAAAGCTAGCCTCAATTTGCCTCTTCCAGGAAGCCGCTTCTGGCTAACCAGGAACTCCACTGAATGTTTTCTTACACAATATCATATTAAACTTTTGTCCTCTCTTCCTTCTCAGATCGGTATTACCCCTTTCTTTTTTTTTCTCCCTCTGGATGCTTGGTAACATGTTGTTTACTCATAAAACGAATTACTTCTGTTTTGGCAAATGAGTATTTTTAAAACATCAAAGAATCTGTTTTTTAAAACATCAAAGCATTTGGTTGTTTATTCTTATTTCTTATCTCATAATTGTTTGCCTGTGCAACAGAGGATTTCCACTAAGGCAGTTAGTGCTTGATATGTTTATTTTGTTTCCCCGTCTGAGGGGAAAAATATGCTTCATCTGAACTCTTCAATCTTTCTGAGCAGCGAGATTGCCGTCGCCCCGTAGAACCCGCGAATATGTGTAGTCTCCACATCTCTCTTCAAGTGGAGGCAAACCTGTGAATCAACTGGGCTTTATGGTCTCGTGACTGGTTGGAAGTTTTCAGTGAGCTTGTGGCCTGTGTGAGAGCTGAGATTTTAAGTTTTACAGAAAAAAACAAGCTGAGTCAATGCCAGAAAAATCTAAGCCTGTCCCTTATGAGCTTTCCCTCCGCACCCGTAGTCACATTTCACACTTTGAGATGGATGTCTCTTCCGAGAGCCAGATTTTTGTTGCTGTTGCTCTTAAAATGAAAGTGAAAGTAAATTGCAGAGGTTTTGAGCAGCTGGGGGAGTTTACAGCATCGGCGGCCAACTTCATCAGCTTAACCGCAGAATGATTCCCACGCAAGGCAACCAGGAAGAACATTGGTCAGATGGGTCTCATTTCTAATGATTGGAGTGGAGGGTATGTTGGAGATTTAAACATCAAGCATTATGAGTCTTGGCTGTAGGGGTTCGGCCAGCACTGAGACCTACATGGGAGTACCTCTTAAGCGGAGCTGGTCTTCATTCTTCTGTGTCATCTACATTCCTAGTTCAGAAGTAACTGTCAGAATCGCCAAAATCCTGCTGAACTTGGACACTAGTTTCTATTTTATCTTCTATAGTAGCATTTGAAGTTCCTGTCACTGGCAGTGGTTATCAGTAAGCAGATACATATATTCTTTGGGCAGGGATCCTGTTCCATAATATCTTATCATCTGAGAGTTGGAAGGAACCTTACCAGTCAGCAAATTCAGTACATGAATTTTCAGTGCAGTAAATTTTGGTACAAAAGAAACTGAGACCTAGAAAGATGACGTGACTTCTCGGGTTTGTACACCGGTGACTGGGAAGATGCCAATAACGACAGACACTTGAGAGGATGTACAAGAGCCTCAAATGTGTCTTCATTTCCCCTTCATTTAAACATGGATTTGCCGCATGGATGAAGGTCATAAATTTTACTGGGATGACTGAGCTGACATTTATAAATGAGAGTGGTCATTAGTAAAATCACCAACAAAATACAGCTACACTTGTACAAATCCAAAATATTTCTTATATTAGAAAAGTATCCCAAGTTTGGGGTTTTTTGTTGTTTTGGGGGGTTCTTTTTTTTTGAGTCACTCTTTCAGTAGGAAGCTAAATCTTTGAAAAAAAGGATGCTTTGGGTGTAACTCCAACAATATATGTAGATTGAGAGCTATTTTCCTTTGACTCTGTCAACCATTTTAAGTATTAGCTGTAATACTAAGACAGATTTGTATTCCATACTCAGGCATGTGCCATCCTCATTTGTGACACCAAACCATTCTGCCACTACAAACATAGCAGTCACCGAATTGAGAACCGGAGCTGAAAACATCAGCTCCTGTTGGCACCACCAACACTCAGTACTGTCTCCTACTTTTTTTTTTTGGTTCCTGATAACCTCAGAGCACGTTGTTTCACTTTCCCACACAGATTCCTTTTCTATAAAATGGGGAATAGCAACCCTTTACAGGCTTGTTATGAAGATAAAATGAAATCATGGTGATGAAAGTACTTTTTTTTTTAAAGATTTTACTTATTTATTTGATAGAGAGAGACAGAGAGAGGGAACACAAGCAGGGGGAGTGGAAGAGGGAGAAGCAGGCTTCCCGCTGAGCAGGGAGCCTGATGCGGGGCTCGATCTCAGGACCCTAGGACCATGACCCGAGCTGAAGGCAGATGCTCAACGACTGAGCCACCCAGGTGCCCCGTGATGAAAGTACTTTTAAGTATTTCCTAGAACTATGTATTAATACTTTTAGTCTATGAACTAATGATAAAGTTTTATGAAGAAATTCTTGAATGTCATTGATCCCCAAGGTCATTGAGGAGTCTTAAAACATTAGTATGTCCATCGCTGAAACTATTTGCAAATGGTGATGTCTAGAGCATTCCTGTTTTTCAGGATTTATAGAATTCCACAACTTCCTAAATGCCACATGCAGACATCTGGTAGTTCATCTTACACTGGTGTAAATATAGTCTTTTGCACTGTAAAACAAGAGTTTCCACTGTCAATATGCCCATACTTATACGGTCTCTAAGTTCCATTTGTTCCTGGGAAAGGTAGGTCAGCACCTTGACATGGAGCTAGGAATCTGCCTTCATTGTGTGAGATTCTTCCTCCTGGTACCTGTCAAGGAAGTGACTGCTCTGATAAACTTTCCAGTTGCTTCCCAAACTCACCCTACAACTTGCAGAAAATTAGCATGACCTGTCACTATTCTTCCTCTCTTGAAATGCCAAGATCTCACTTTGAATTATAAATAATCTCTGGACTTGTTCCCTCCTCTGTGAG